GACCATGATTCGCATGTCGTTATGACTTCATGTACCTCGTGGAGTTCTCTGTTGACCATGATTCGCATGCCATTGTAAACAATCCCCTAGATGCTCTTTTTAGTGGAATAGGTGATGCAGAGGAACCACCTCTCTTGAAGTTTGCACAAGAGATTGGTCTCCTTCACCAAGTGGTGCAGTAAAATTCTAGGTCTCTTATAGCGCTACTATTAAGATATGCCTCTGAGATTATAGCAGGTGAATTAAATTCAGAATATGAATCCCTGGTTGAATATGATGGGATTTTTAAGTGAACTTGATGTTGCAGGGTCGAAAATTCAACACTTCTTCTCGTTGCAATTGGTAAGGATGGATATGAGGATATACTGGATACACTAATGAATGATCCTAGAAATGTAATATAGTTTCTATTTCCATCAGTTTTAACTTCAATAGGAAACCATAGAAATTTGTTTTTTCATACATGCATTTTCTTAGAAAACCGTTCATTTATCTCACGGGCCTTATGCTATGTTTCCTTGGCCTTTAGAGTATCCTTATTTGGTGGAGCTGGTTTTAGTATATTGAATTTGGAAAACCACAGTTTAATTGGTGAAATTGTAGCTCAAGTACAGATTCTTGGAGATGATCTCTTAATCATCAATTCGATGGAGTATAACTTTTTGAATGCATAATCTTTGTCACTCCTGAAATTTAGACTATTGCCTTGTGCACAATATACTATTTTCCAACTTTTCATTCTAGTGATTGGAGAGCTAAGAAAGGAATTAAAGAGAAAACTAGCAATGCTCTTCTTCTCAACGTGAATATTTGTTACATGCTCTTCTTCTCAACGTGAATATTTGTTACATTCATTGTATAACTCTTTTATTAGCATATTGTAAAATATAACCTCTTCTGTACTGTCCAAGCTTTTTGTAGGCAGCAGAACTTAGTGATTGCTTCACTTCCTAAATTCTCCAACTATTTGTATATGGAAGTGAACAAGGAATGAAACATACTTTCAATCGGGAATGATCTATAGTAAAAGTCATAATCGCATGCTTCCTTGGTGTCAACAATAGCTGCTCTACCCCTACGTTGAAACAAAAATTCAAAAATGCTCGAGAAGGAAAAATCTGAAAGATAATTCTGTTGTTTCCTATTATCTCCTATCTTCAATTTGAGTGGTATCATATTTTTCTTTTTATTACTTATTGTGATTGTAGTAATAGGTTTGGACTCGCTACTAAGAGCATCTGCTATCATATGACCAAGTTAATAGAAGATCAAATCTTACTATGTAGTTTTTTTCTTTTTTTTGGGGTTTCGGTGTGATTTTCTTATGTTTTGTTGCTCTACCCACTTTTTAGATTCTTTTTTAAGAGTTTAAAATTAGAAAATTCCTTCTAATTATTTTCTATCCAATCTTCCACAGAAGTAATTTGTTTTTTGTCAAATACTTTATGATAAATGTATGGAATCAAGGAAATAGGCACAAGTCGAGAATAATTCTAAATGCTATATTTGGTAAGACTGGACCTTTACAAAATGCCAAGATTTTTCCTAAAAACTCAACACACTAACGTTACTTTAAAAAAAGACCAATCCGTGCATTGCACGGGCATTCCAGTAGTAGAATAGAAAAAGAATCAATTAAGTATCAAGATTATAAATGTAAAATGGTACTTGAAAAAGTTAAAAAAAAAAAATCCTCGTGGGGAAGGGCCTAGCCCAATAGGGACAGCACTGGGAAAGGTTATTGATTATTTGGAGTATCACCCCCTGGCGAAGCATGCTTCAGTAGCTGTGGGAAGTAATTTAGTTTTTTCAATATTTTATTTTTTGCTTGAGATAAAAGATGTCAACCTTATTTTCAGATGTAACTAGGGTTGGGCAAATCTCTTGAACCGAACCCGACGGTTCTTATCAAATTAAATATCCGAACGGGTATCTGAATTAAGAATCGACAGGTATGGTTCGGTTCTCGGTTCTAGACCAAGAATCGAAAAATCGAATCTTTCTAATTTTTTTTATATTGAATAAATCAAATTATTTTAATTTTAATTTTTTTTAAAACATATCAATAAATTAACAATTTTTAAATCCAAGTTTTTGGCCCAATAATTTGTTTCATGGCTCTCCAAGCGTCGATCTGTGGTATGTGTGCTGATTTATGTGATCTGTGTAGTGGTGTGGATATAGAGGCTGTGAGATGGGTGGTATCGTCAGGTGTGGTGGTGACGGGTGTGGGTGCGATAGTGTTGGCGCGCGTGGTGGGTGTGTGGTGGGGTCAGATATGGTTGGTGGTGGTCGTCTTGTTGTGTTGTTGCATGGGTATAATTATGTGCGGTGGTGTTCTAGTGCGTTGTTGGTGGTGTGATTTTTTT